TTTAAATGAAAATTACTAAATCCAGGAGGCGAGGTCCACCCTTCACCAGGTAGCTGACAACCATCGCCTTCATAATATTCTTAGTAAGCGACCTCGAACAGTAACAATAAAAAAGTGGTACAGAGCCAAAGAAGGCAAATTATCTTTAACGTTTATTTATGAAAGGAAAAAGATTTGTGATATTGCACTACTTTTTTATCTCTAATACACCGACTTGATCATGCAACTGGTGTCTCAGAAAGAACGGTGAAGAGAGTAATTAAGGAAAACGAAAACAAACCATGAACTTCAAAATGTGGTTTACCTGAAAGAAGCATTTGCAAGCCCAGCCCCAATGATAAACAGATTATGAGAAATACCATTTACACGTTTGCTCTACCATGAACGATGATTAGGAATCTGTCAGAAATGCTAGTAAATGGTAATTATTAAACTATCTTTTTTTTGAAAAGAAGAAATTAGAATTTAAATGGAAAAAGTGGAAGACAACAGAAACAAATAATGCATTTCGATAATAAGTAGAGAGAGACGATCGTGATTCACACTGTCACGCCTAAGTCGGGGAAAGATATTATGTGAGGGTACTTGTATCCAGAAATTCCCACATGGCAAGCATTTTGAGCAAGTCTCTTCAGATTGGATTAATTTCTATTTCTTGCTTGCTTAGCCTAAGTTTACGTAACATTTAGGTATAACATGGAACAGAATATTTTGCTTTGATTTTTTAAACACAGTCAAAAAGTGAAAATAAGGGATTTTTGCAATTATCTCGGTCAGTTGTTTATGGAATTTAATTTAGAAACCCTCTAGAATAAAGAATTTTTTAAGATCTTCAACTTTTATTTGAACTATGTTCTCTGAAAACTCCTTTTTAAATTGATTGTTAAAAAAAACAAAACAAAATCAGCTATACATCTTCACAGAATTGTCATCAGCTACTCCTAATATACCTTTTAGAACCTTCAAATATCTGTATACGATTTTTACATGAAATCGATGATTTTTCATACATATTTAAAATTGCGAAACCTACGTTAATAAAGTAGCATGGCAACACTGCGGTCAAGTATAAAGTCAACAATATAATATTATATCATGGCCTTACTTCAAACTTTTTTGTTTTTCTTTAACCAAATTCACTTTATATGGAAAGTAATAATATCACATCTTTTTTCTAAATTCAAGTAACGGCATAATACATAATAAAAATAAGTTTAGAATGTAATAAAACAATTATTTTAAACTTCGTCTTATAAACCACCGACACGTTTTTCAATATTTTCTCTACATATACAGCGAGTTGAACATATCGCTGCGGGGAGGTACTGGGTTCTCGGGATATAGCTTTATATATGCTCCCAAAATAACTGACGATATCCAATATGTTAACAAAAAATAATTTGATTATTTCAACCTGCAGGGTCCGATGTGATCTCTCTTTTTGGTTTTTTAGTTAAATTCAATGATAAAATATAAATGATTATATTATTTTAGTTTTGTATGTAGTATTAAAAATTACCATTACACGGTAAAAACGCAATCCCTTGATATGAGAAGGCTATCTACTCTTTTTCATTAAAAGATAAACTAACGCACAAGGACGTTTATACGTATATAGAAAGTAGGCGAGGAAACGAAGCACTAAACTTACCAATTTCAAGTGGCAGGAAAGTTTGTAAACAAAATTCATGGTAGTAAAATGAAAATTGCATTTGTGTAGAGGAAATGAAATATGTGCAACTAAGAATATGTCGACAGGAATGAGTTTAATTTTGTTACTCGGGAGTTTTCGAGATCGCTGAAAACGAACATGATAAGGACAATGGTCGTCGAGCTACCTGGTGCCCAAGATGGACCTCGTCTCCTGGAGTTTCATATTATTTTCATTCGAAATGAGTAAAAAGTCGTTACTTGTGGGATTTTGAGACCTTTCAACATGAATAATTTGACGGCGATCATCCTCGAGCTACCTAGTAACCCAGGGTAAACCTGGCCTTCAAAAGTTTTATTTAATTGCCATTCGACATCAGTCAAAAGTCATTATTCGGGGGTTTTCGACGTCGATTAACACGAATATTATGTTAGCGATGATCCTTGATCTACCTGCAGCCCAGTGTGGACTTCATGTCCTTAGTTTTACGTTATTTTTTTTCGAAATCAGTCAAAACTCATTTCTCGGGAGATTTTGTGGTTGCTTTACACGAATAACACGGAGTGTTCAGTAGTTTGCATATTTTTACATGCATCACCTAAAGTATTTATTGTGTTGGATGCGCTATATTAAAATGTGCTCTACTGGATCTACAGTCATTATTTTGAATTTAATTATATTTTAAAAAAATTGCTTTTTTTTGCTCATTCGTTCATGAAATTTATAGCAGATAAGGATTATTATACCCTTCTTTACAAAAGTAGCAAATTATATATCGATGGTATATTCAGCTACTGCCCCGATCATTTTTTGGAGTTCATACTGCATATATTGGAAAATGGATATTATATTTTACTTGATAAGAAAAATAACAACTAAGAAAGAATGTTCTTACAAAAATCTTTTAAACTTCTGATTAAATGCTTAAATTCGGGATTAAATCTGAACCCAGAAATTATTGTTGCAGGATTTGAAATAGCCATTCACAATGTCACAAGTTTTAAAACAATTTCAAACACACTTACATAAAAATGCAAAGTTATTTCTAAGAAAATTCAAGAATACATGACCCCTCGGTGCGAGTACGTAAGCAGTGTACAGTTAAAAAAAATAAACGAATATAAAAATGAATCTACTTCAAGATTTGATTTTATAAAATGTATAAACTCGGTTTCATCGTTTTTGGCGTGTGCTGAAATAAGCTACTACGGATTTTTAATATTCGTCTCTCTCAAATACACAGGGCGTAATTCAATTGTGCGAGTCACGTTCGTCATGGTAAAGTGCGATGAGAAGGGAATGAAGAGACCACTCACGTCTCCCAGTATTGTAGCAATAATACCGATGCGTTTGGCCGATACGGTGTCGGTGATAAGTTCGGCCTCTTTACGAATACAGATAGCTGCCACTGGAGGAGGTAAACGAATCGAGCTTAGACAAGGAAAGACAGATGAAACAACTTATTGCAAGTGTTTTTTACACGCACACGCCAAGAAAGATGAAAACGTCTATAGCATATTTTTATAAACCTTAAAATACTCTTTGTTGGCAGCGTAGCTGTAGCGGAGGCTGAGAGACAGAGCACACACAAAGTTTGAAACAAGTCATCAACTTAGGTGGGTGGCCCTCTGTTTGAAACAGTGGCGCACCCGGGGGGGTTTAAAACCCCACCAGGACCCTATTTCGACACTGTTATTCACAAATTTGAAGGACTTAAAATGGTGGAGGTAGCATAAAAAAATTTCGGTGTCCAACCAAAACCCCCACCAGAGCATAACTCTAGGTGTGCTACTGGTTCGAAACACATATCTTTTTTAGGGACTTAAGTCCCATACTCATGCTAGAGTAACTTCTGTATAAAGTCAGTAAAGTAAATAGGGAGAGAAGCCGATATGTGTGCTACTCGTACAGATAAGTGGCTTAACCACAGTCATGAGAAACAGATGGTGTTCCATTACCCAGCATAACTTTCGAGATAATAAGTAAGTCACACGTTGGGGAGGGGTGGAGGAAAAGCCTGGGGGCGGGGGTCAGATGGGTACCGTTTCACAGTGAGGTGAGACTGGTTTGATATTCGAACATGTGGATGCCACTGTACAATGGTATACACATGTTCCTAGGAGCAGGTTTGATCACTATGTGTGTATGTGTGCTCGTTGTATGTACATTTTGGGTAATATAGTTAATATTTTTTGTATACTTTTAAGCATTTTTATTTTCTATACACCTACTTATCAACATAGAATTAATGAGTGTACTTGGTTTTGTAAAATATTGATGAATAAAAAGGTACCTATATACAAAATTTACACATATACACATTTTTATATTTATAACCAAAAGAATTCGTAGCAATACCACATAAGAGAAACAATATTTTTTAATTTTATTTCTGTAACGGTGACATGGAACTTTAATACTGATTCACAATCTTACGGGTACGAGTTCATGAATCTATTTTTATTTATCTGCTATTCTCCAGATTAATTATCTGCTATGAGATTAACCAAATTGGTAATTTTAATCCCGGGGATGAAGTCTTTATTTCATTTGTTCGATGGTTTTACAGATTCGAGAACCATAATTACCTCAGCTTCCTTTCACAACCTATAGACATTTTTCAATTTTAAGATTTCAGATGTTGACTCTCAGATATTCAAAAAGTATTATCAATGAATATGGGGAGACCACAATAATACTTGATACCAGTGACATACTGTTACTATTGAACTAAACAATGAATCTGATTGTTAATTATGGGATGACACTGAGGAAACAATTTAAATAAACTACTATAACGCTCAGATCATAAAACTGATGATTTATATAAAATTACAGCAGAAAAAAATTTGTATGTAGTTAGCAGCGGGGCTACAGGTTGTGAATTGAATTGAGTAAAGCCTTTGCATAACTCGGGTAACGATGTGTTACTCTCCAAATTTTATTTTATGTCTGGCCACCAGAAGTATACATCTGAAGTCCATAGCAGAAAAATCTGTGTATATTCATCTATTTCTTTGCTTCATCTTTTTTTATTCTTCATTTCTCGTACCTGCCATTTTCTGAAAGCTTTTTTCTACTTGGACATCTGCAACATATGACTTAATTATATAATTTTGTTAATTATTCATCGTTCCAAAATAAGTCTAGTTATTCTTTCCTCTTACCTTACTGTTCGTTCTTTTAATATATTCACTCGCAGTCCGTTTTATCCTATTGTTGTCCTATCGTTGTCCTTCGTACCAACAATTATCGTAAAAAAACTAAAAACAGTGAAAATAATTCTAGTACCGAGCTCATTTTACAGTCCGTCGAATTACTGTACCATTAACTATATTGGACATTTCAGGTACCGCTCCAAACTCGTAGACTGGTTTTTGGAAGCTATCCAAGAAATGGGCTATCAAATTCGAGACGTGAATGGAGAACACCAGACAGGATTTACGCTCACACATGGTACTTTGAGAGATGGTTTAAGGTGTAGTACTGCCAAAGGATTCATCAGACCTGTTGCGAAAAGACCAAACCTTCACGTCAGCCTTCATTCTATGGTGGGTATCCTTATCTTAAATATAAGAAGTTTGGTAATCTTTAAAGTCTCTAGGATATATAATATATAATGGACAAGTTTTCTAGAGTTGGCGCCATTTTTTGCATAATATTGTTGCATCTTGTTATTAAACCGTCTTGGTCTACATCGTTTTCTTCTGGTGGGGTATATTTTTTTGGATTATCTTTTTGGCCATTTACTTTCAGATATTCTATGCAGGTGTCCATACCAGTTTAGTCTTTTGGCTTCAATTGTGTCTTTTATGTCTAGAACAATTTCCATTTCTCCTCGAATATCTTCGTTCCTCACCCTATCAAGTGTAGTGAGCCGGTATGATGATCTCCAGTAATTTATTTAAGTCACCTTTTGATTTGTTTCTTCGATTTATATCCCAGAGTTCTTTGCCATACAAACATAATGTTTTCTATTAATGTTTTATAAACTCTTTTTTTGTTATTTTATTACCCCACAATAGTACGGAAAACTGTCTAGTGGCTAATCTTGCTTGACAAATCCAGGAATATATTTCTTCATTACCTCTTGCTTTTTAAGGTATTTTAACTTAAAAGTATTTGAAGATTTCAGTTGATTTTATAGTTCCCATTTAAATTTGGTTGTTCTCCTACAACTAAGTACTCGGTTTTTTAGGTATGAATTATATGATATATTATCTTCCAAGTTTCTAAGCATATAGTCTATATCACTATTACCTTGAAATGGCTTGGTCATCAGCGAAGTTTGTTGTGTAGAATGTCTCGTCTTCGATTGGGATGCCCATATTGCATCACTTTCTTCTCCACAGTGAGAGCACCTAATTTAGATATATGTTGAAGAGTATAGGTGCTATGCAGCAGCCTTGCTTTAAACTCTTATTAATGGGAATTTCTCTGGTAAATTTGTTTAAGTTAAATGTTTCCCATCATATTTTTGTAAAGTTTTTGTACTACTTTAATACTTTTTTGTTTATTCCTTTTTTTTTTCTATTGCCATCCAAAGCATGGGATGGAGTACACTATCGTACGCTTTTGTCAGATTTATAAAGACTATATGTTTCCAGATTTGGACCAAAATGTTTAGAATTCTTAGGTGGCCCGTATCGGTGTCCTAGATTGTTTCCGAACAAATATTATAACGAGGTCTTGGCGACATTGTGTCAATACCTTTAAAAGAGATTATTTAGAATATTTGCAAACAAAACGTAACGGAATCTTTGGCGGCATTTCACTAAAACCTTTTAAGCGTATTATGCGGGTAGTTAAATGGCCCTGGGTGGTGAAAAATATATCGGAAAACATCATAAAATGATTCCTTAGGAAATACTTAAAAAAATTAAACGAAAATACTGAGTTTTATACAAAATTTAGTAACATAAAAGAAATTTAAACAAAATGTGACGTATCAGCATTTCGACACCTAGAGTTCATTAATGGTCCTTCGATACTCGCTCCACTACAAGGGAGAATGAAGTTAGTGACGAACCTGCAATGCTTGAACAACTTCACTTTCTGTTATCTTTTTTTGTCATTTCTGACAACTACTTGTCAGAGAATGGCACATTAAATGAAAGATTTACTCACTTACTATTTAAATAAATTGTCATTTTATTTCCTACTTCACTTACTATTATTTTTCCAGAGTCTTAAGAGTGAATTTATGATATATAGCCCTCTGTCGTTTGAACATTTTTTTTATTTCCTTCTAGTTCTATGTGTTCCAGATTTCCTCTTTCATCATCGAACAATTCGTCGGTATATTCTGCCCATCTTTGTACTTTTTCGTCCGTATGTGTTATAGTAGTCCCGTGTCTATCCGGAATTGCACGAGTGGGATTTTGTTTTCTTAGTCCTGCCAGTTATTCAACTTTCTTGTGTAGGTTAAACAGATGATATTTATTTTGAAGGTCTTCGATTTCTTTGCATTGCTTTTCAAAATATTTTACTTTTGCCTGCTTTATCATCTTCCTGATCTCGTGGTTTATCTCTCTGTATTTATTGTTGTCCTTGTTTTTAAATTGTCTCCGTTGTTCCATCATATTGAGTATCTCGTCATTTATCTATTCTTCTTTTCTCCTTGCGGAAGTCTTTAATATTTCTTTACAGGGTTTCAGTAGACAATGTTTTAGTCGATCCCAATACTCGTCAATATCATTGGTGTTTGTGTTCAATTTGTTGTAGTTCACATGCAGTTCATGTTGGAGGCATTCTTTTACTTTAGGTTCTTTAAGTTTTCTTGTATCTATTGTAGAGATTCTTTGATGTCTTTTAATATTTTTAAGGATGAGTGTAATCTTGGGGATAAGTGGATTGTAATCCGAGGCCACGTCTGATCCAGGATATGCTTTCACAGCTTTAACAGTATTACGGTATCTTTCATTGATCATAATGTAGTCTATCTGGTTCCTAACTACTTTCTCCGATGTATCTGCGGGTGATCGCCATGTATATACTCGTCTGTTTGGTAACTTGAAAAATGTGTTTGTAATAATAAAGTTTTGCTCTTGACAGAATTGTAACAGACGGTCTTAACTGTCATTTACACAAACAAAACATTAAAACGAGGTAAAAAGCCCCCTTGGTACCAGTATATGGTTGATTTGAGCCAGTCTCTTGCCGAACCATGGTTCAGACAAAGATTCGCAACAGCTACTTTGCGTCGAAATATTCGTCACGATATAGCTCACATTTTAAAGATACCTGTTGCAGAAGGAGTTCCCAGATATCAAAAAAGAAAAAGAAAAATTTGCTTTTATTGTCCAATGCAAAAACTGCGAATGACAACTACATATTGCCAAGTATGCAAGCATGCGATATGCGGTGAGCATCGGAAAAAAATTGCACCGAGTGTTTAAAACATTAACCAATTCTATTTTTTATTCGTTTAAAATATGTTATTATAGTGTCAAAAACAGTCCTGTTCAGATTCTGAATATACGTTTTGTAATTAGGTACAAGGCATTTTTTATAGACACATAGTAAAATTTACGATAGTCCGGTAATCACGTGCGGCCAAACAAGTCCGGTAATCTAGGGTTAATCGAAACCTTTTTAACCGAAACATCGTTTAACCGAAACGGCTGACTGTTTCAATAATCTCGCCAATCAAATTTTTTATCGCAAAACGTAAACAATTCCATTCATTTGTCAACATCGTCAAGATTGCTTTCACACAACTAAAGAATGCAATTAAATACTCAACCCACGTTTTTTATTACTGTAGTTATTTAATGTGTTGGTATAATAAAATATTAAAACCGCTTCGACAGCGCAAATCGCCTCAGCCGTGTTGTTTGTTTATTTCTCGTTATCGATGACTCCCTGTTATGACACATTTCCTGCAGGTGACCGTATCTCAAAGTATGTGCTTTAGTGCCGTATCTGTATGTGTGTGTGTGTGTGTGTGTTATTTTATTTTTTTTATATTTCAATTTCATTAAATCACCTGTTGTGTGTGAAAATGTCAAACAAACGGAAAACGTGTTGTGATTGCGATTAAACAGAAATTAGAGGCTATCCGAAGAATTCAAAATGGACAGATTTTACGAACAGTTGCAGCAGATTTTGGCGTTGTTGTTTCTACAGTTTCCGAATGGGTTAAAATGAAAAGCAAATATGAGGAAGATGCTTCGAAAATGCTAAAAAAGAAAACAATGAAACTAACTCAAAATAAAGAAGATAAATAAAGCTGTCTATTTGTGTGATTCACACAACAATGATTCAAAGGAATAGCATTATCTGGACCAATAATTCAAAAAAAGAAAAAATGTTATACGAGATGATGGGCGATAAAGGTGAAGGATTTAAAGCAAGTTCAGGTTGGCTAGACAAATGGAAAAACGGGACGCTATTCGTCAAGTAAATTAATGTGGAGAAAAGCTATCTCCCTCAATCACCCTCAAAATCTACAAAATGATGACATAATTGTCAGATTTTTCCTACCGAATGTCACGAGCTTAATTCAGCCGTTAGACCAGGGAGTAATAGATACATTCAAGAGACGGGTAGAGGAGCATTTTTAAGGCTTCTGTTATTACAAGAGACGAATGGATCCAAAAGTGTTCCCGAAATTCTCAAATCTTTATGAAACATGTTGTTTATTGGTGTGTGAGTATGGAGTCGTGGGCCAAAATCAAACCTTCAACTTTGAAAAAATGCTGGAACAAACTTTTTGATGAGAGTTTGATTTACGATCCTGAAGAAGAAAATGTTAAAGAAACGACAGAAGAAATTGAAACTTTAATAAAAAAATTGCCAAGATGTGAAGAAATTAACCAAAAAGAGATAAGTGAGTGGTTAGCAACCGATGACTCAGAAAGTGAATTCATCGACCAGGACATCATTGATATGGTTTTTCATCCGAACAACCTGAGCGTATCAGACGATGAAGATGACAACCCAACAGACAACACGCAGCACGAGACCGCCGACAAGATTTTCAATGCCTTAGAGGTAAGAATTTTATACAGTTCGCCTATAAGTTAGGGACACGACCAGGTTCTTAATTTTTGATGTCATTGCATAAAGTTTTGTCCTTTTCAGATTGCTTTACGTTTCGTCGAACAATCGAATGAGGCAAAACCTTATGACCTTCTGCAAATGAAACAATGGAAAGATATAGCTGCAAAACATCGTTGTCAAAGGAAAACGCAAAAGAAAATAAGAGATTTCTTTAAAAAAAAACATGTTAAACCTTTTCATTTTCCTTTATTTTATTACTTTATTATGTATTAACTTATAAGAAAATATTACGAAATCACCTCATAGTATTTTTTAATACCAACTTTGACCAAGAATACTATGTAATTTGATACAAAAAGAATACAAAAAACAATGTTATTTTTAATCGAAATTCTTGTTATCCGAAACGGACCCCAATTATTTCGGTTAACGGAGATTTACTGTAGTAATTTCCGAAATACTGTTATACTCTGTTTTAGTAATTCGTTTGGTATACCTTATGGTTCACATATCTTTCGATTTTTTAGAGTTCTTTTATCTTCGACCTCCTGTTATTTCATTGTCTCAATCATATTTCACTTCATATGTTTTTGTGATTGTGTCCCATCCGAAATATTTCTTCTATTAAATCTATTGTACTAGTTAACTAGTTAGATCAATTCTCTGAGTCTATAGAATATTCTATAAATGTTTGACAAAATAATTTAATTAATATTTGACAAAATTAGCAATTATTCAAAAGAAATTATTTTTTAGCGTTCTAGTCACCTTGGGGACATTTTGAACACTATACGTGAGTAACGTATCTAAAAAAATTAATACCAGATTTCACTATCAATATATTTAGAGAAAAAAAAACATAATTTAAGATAGTATGCTTAGTTCAGCAATCACAGGACTAAAAGTATAGAAGAGCAGCTAGAGCAGACGATATTCCAGCTGCATTAATTAAAACGGTCCTCCAATACTTCATATTTGATACAAAATATATTTTAAAGAGTGTAAAAATGAAAATCTGTAAATGAAAAAGTCTTGATCTATAAGATCAAGTAAAGACCTCTATTCGGGTCATCAGAGACCTGATGACCCGAATAGTAGAGTATAAGCAAAAATACAGTCTAAAAAAGAACGCCAAATTCATGAGAATATTGTAATGACGGTCCTGGCCATAAAATAGCCGCGATGTTTCAACATTTAAGTCCGCAGGTGTTTACGAAATCAGTCTGATCGAAGGCTCGAGAATGAAAAATATGAAGTCATAAAGTCTGCCTATCAAATAAAGAAAATTTCTAGGACCGGCTCCAAAATATATAAATACAGAACGAATTATATTTTAGTTATAATTACAATTACGAAAAATCTTGAAGAGTAAAAAATATAGATTTTGCTTTCCTGAACATTTCGGTTTTTTTTTGTTTTTCTGTAAGACAAAAAATTAAGCTTAAGGTTAAGATATTACTGTTCAAAGTTTCCATACACTCGTCATGAGTGACTCGCTCAAGCCCTTTCAAACTACTTGAAAGGGTTTAGAAAAAAAATAAATATAAATGATATTATTGCTCTTAAATAGCATATTAAAGTATAAGTGGATATTGAGATCTTTTTTGAGGAAAACACGCATCTTTGTACACGAATGTAAACTTCTCATGTAACAATTATCATCACCATTAAGCGTAAGATCACTTTATTTTGTCGAAAAATATAACGACTTTGGATATATGACTAAAACTTCATTTGAAGATTACATCAAATGGGCGCTAATTTAATGTTGCTCAAACTGAATACTTGATTAAATCAGTCCAAAGTATAAACCTAGAAATAAACAACTCGGTCTCAATAAAATTTGCAAAAAAAATGTTTTGGCATGCACCAGAAACAACTCATATGATACAAACATGTAAACACAACGGATTATAGTCCATATAGTCAGTTAAATTAGTTAGTTTGCATTTGTACAGCCACCTGCATTTTGTATTATATTCTAAGTATGTCAGGTGGTCATATTATTATGGTTATGGTAGATCGAGGCAGAGCATATTTATGAGTGCTTCAAACACTTCAAACCTCCTAAGACGAGTCCATTGTAGGTGGTCATATTACTTTTATATATTCTTGTACACAACTGAGATGAGAATTAATATTTTGTTGTGAGTAACATATCCCTGATTGCGACACTGTACGTTAGAGAAGTTTGAGAAGCCTCTCCGTCACGAGTACAGATACATAGGTGGTTCATTATATAAGCCAGCAGAGGCGTAAGATTAGTATTGGTAATTCAACGTATCAACGTTTCAACGAATTTGTAATTATTGAGCTTTTATATAAAGACCGGTGTAATTTTCTGTCATAAAAATTGTTATATAATGCATTTTCCACATCATGTATAGGTATTATCTCTCTAAACCTACGACATTGTTACTTTTTTTTCGCAGGATCACCGCTAATCAGTGCTTGCAATGCTGTCTTCATTTAAAAATTTAATGCTTTTTTAACCTTCGTAACAAATTAGCGCAACAAAAGAATGACAATGGCTTATTTTTTCTGTCAAGTATTCTACAAATGCTGTACATATCTTGCACAAAGTATATTTGAGTTATTTATCTCAAATAGTTTGCTTTCAGATCCCTTTAATTTTACCTAGATATCCTTTGAATCGGTTAAGACAAATTATGTTTAATTCTGTTGTCCAATTTTATTATTGATTACAAATGTACACGTTTTTTCTACATTTTCTTTATATTTATGAGTATAAATTTCTGTTAGCGATGAGACAATCGAAACAAGCTTCTTTTCTTTCTTTATAGATCAAAATCTTACCAAAATAGCTTACAATATGTCTCCTCTTTTGCAGGTTCACAAAGTTTTAATAAAAGAAGAAACTAAACAAGCCTATGGAGTAGAGTTCGTCAAATTTGGGACGAGACGGGTAGTCCACGCTGACAGAGAAGTTATATTAAGCGCAGGCTCTCTTGGATCTCCACAGATGTTGATGCTGGCTGGAATCGGACCGGAGGAACACTTGAATGATATGGGTATCAAAGTTATTAAACATTCACCCGGAGTTGGACAAAATTTGCAGGTAATTATTATAATGTATAGAATTACAAATATCAAAAGCAAAAAATACTTGTGTTTTCCCAACGATAGAGATCTGTATATATTAAGAGTAGTTGAAAATAAAAAAAGGTTTTCTACACATACAACAAACGTACTTTTGACTTACCTGCATTTTGAAATAAGAAGTAGACAATTCATTACCTGTAAAAATAAGAAATATATAAGTATATGACGTTTAATTGATATACAGTATAAGAACTGCAAAAAAATAATTCATAATAGATATATCTAAAGAATACAACATAATGTACAACATACGTCAGTATGTCGTAAAATGTGTCCTCTGTCTACTACAGGGGTTCCCAACTAAAGACCGCCGGGCGTCGAACGTAATTTGATCGTATATTTGCACCATTCGACCAAATCGACGTTTTATCGGCAAATTTGACGGCAAACAAGTTAATCTGCACTCTGCAGCAGTACGACATTCGACAGTGTTTGATCGTGTATATTGTGACAACGATATACAACGATAACAATCATTTGCTGGTAAATTTCGAAAACTGTTTATAGCTAGAAGTTTTTAAGAGATTTCTTTGGCATTTAAAAAGAACAAGAGTGTCTTTAGAAAATAAAGCATATCATGATAAAACCGCTAGAAAAAAAGCTGTGAATATTTTGGTTGCTAAATTTCTAGAGTGAAAGCGGATACTAATGAATTCAAGTTATCTGGATATAATCGCAATTTTCGCATAAATGTACGTGACAGTATGTATGTCTTTTCAGCAACCAATCTTTGCACCACTACCCACGTTTCTTTTATTTTTCTTTTATAAATAGGATCAAGAGATGCTAAAAGTATATAGTTATCTTATCTGACATATTGCTGACTTGAAAGTAAAACTCATACTACAAAATCGGTACGTGTGACCTAGGGAATTTTCCCTATACCTAGAGAATTTTGAGCCAGCTTAGGGAAAAAGGGATTTTTATTCAATTCTATGAAAAATCTAGGGAATTCTGGTTGAGTTTACCGAAATTACAAGCTGTATGCTTCAATTATAAAGAGATAAAGCTTTAGAACAGTACATTTTGATTATATTATGTTATGAATTCTGCAATTTTTAATTCAAATAAAACAAGAATGAGTAAATATTTGTTTCTTTGGAGAATAATTGCAGTTAATTATAAGAAATTTTTTTTGGCAATTACCTTAATAGTACTCGTACCGTCGTATAACTGGAGCAACTGGATAGTAGTTGCTATCATCAAGTCCTCGTAAACGCTTTGTCTCATGACCAGAAACCTCATGTAGAGTCTTAAGTTGCCATTTTATCAAATCCACTGGTAACTTTAACATCTTAACATATAAGATCGAATAATATAAAAAAAATTTAAACAAATAACTTTTAACGGGTTTTTACCCAAATATTTAGTGGCTCAAAACATGTACACCTAGACACTGATGATGGAACATGAATTCAGAAAACGTTATTTTGTTGTGATATAGCCCGGATGGGCTTTTTAATTATATACCTTTTATAAAGGATCTTAATAAATTTTTGGTAATACATGGTGTACAGCCAGCTACAGGAACTTAGTTTCCATGTAAATTTTAATGTGTTACATGGAAAGAAATTATATTTTTAAAACTAAGGTTGAGTTAATAGATCCAGGTAATGAAACTACCTTTATAAACATTAAAAATATGTACTAATCGGTATACATGTCATGAACTTTATTCATGATGAAAAGTGCAGGACCTGGGATTTGCTTGCTTGTAAGATTTCAGGTTCCAGTTGATCTGGATTAGTAACTGCTACACGAGAGCAATTACTGCAAATCACTGCAAGTATAAGAGAGCCCTTCAATGTATGAATAAGGACTCGTATGATTCACGTTTTCCCAATTGTGACTTTTGTAGGATATCTGTGGATCTTCAGCAAGTTTTACTGGTACCAAATTTAACACACAGTAATATGTACTATAGTAGACAACTGAGTTGTTATAATCTAGGCATCTATGTATCTCATGTAAATAAAGCTTTTATGTGCATGTGGAATGAAACAAAAGCTTGTCGTGGAAGCAATGAAGTTGCAATCTAGTGAATTCATATGACATTTTTGTTAAAAAGAAACTGGTTCTATGGTCCGATAATTGTGCCGGACAAAATAAGAACCGCACTCTTATTTTTTTAATGATGTTTTTGGTGCAAATTGGACAGTTTGACAAGATTGTTCAAATATTTCTATTAAGCAAGTATAGCTTTTATCTGGTGATCGGGACTTCGCGATTATTGACATGAAACATTTGTACTTTTTAGACTTAAAAAGAGCTTGCGATTCCGGAGTCAAAGTAAATTTTCCAATATCAAAGTCTATTCTGATAAAAGTTTCTAAATATTATCCAGGTATTGTTCAGTATAAGACCACATACAGTGACATAGACACTTGGAAATGTATCAATGTACTAAAAAAAGGGGCTAAACGATATTGAAAAAGCTTGTATATCATGCTGTTCCAAACTAATTTTGTCGGGAGGCAAGAAAAAAGATTTGTCAGTCATGTTGGATTTTTTGCCAGAAAGTGCTAAAGGCTATTACCACAATATTCTAAAGTAAAACATTTTAATAACTTCGTATGTTAGTAATAATTCTTTGGTTAGTTAACCGGTATGTTTTATGTAATAATACATTTTCCGTTCAAATAGTTCTAAGTACCATGGTACATAGAACGTTCCTTAAATACAATATTTTTTAGCATATACTGAGTTAATTTTTTCTTTTTAATTACACAGGTTATGAGCGAATATACCCCTATGTTCCAAATAAAATACATGTTAATAAAGCTTTTAACTTAAAATTTGACAGTTTTTTTATTTTCTGACAAAAATAGCGGAAGGCACTTGGAACGTTTGGAATTTCTACTCTTCAAATAATGGATATGCTTCTGATAGAAAATGTGTTTTTAAACACAATAGGACAAGCAAAGCTTTCTTTCCATTTACACCTCCCAGACACACTGGTATGGGTGGTACGTCCACATTCTTTAGAAACCTTCATGTGATATGCAGGTACTAGAACGTTGGGATACTCTATATTCATTTCAAAGCATAACATTTAATCTAATGTTATCCGAGAGTTCTATAATAATATGTTCAGACCAGCTACGATTTTAATAAGGGTCGTTTACACATTCACTAAACTATAGATAATAGTTATTTTAAAATATTTTGCAAGGTCTACTTATCCTTTTTAAAAAAGTTCATTTTATATAGGACCACATCTCTATAGGCGGAGTTACTTATCTGTTTGACAGACCCAAAGAATTGGGAGACAAACCGATGAGTTTTCATCTTCAAACGATCTTTTCAACAGAAACTGTCAACGAGTTTGCAACTAAGGAACAAGGCCCGATGTATTGGTTACCAGTATGTGAGGTATAGTATTTAAATTATTATTAAAGTTTTATCACCTTTTGAATATTTTAATTTCTGAGAAAAGTCCACAATTATGATTAAAATACTTTTCTACAACCGTCCCGAAAAATAAATTTTCGGTATGATTTTTCGGGACGATTTTTTCACCTTTAAGACGATTATTTTACTTTTGGAACGATTTTGAGTATCTATATTGGGCAGTAATAATCAACACGGTTCAATTGGAAATTGACGAAATTAAAGGAGTCCCATGTGTTGTGGTGTGCAGGACTGCATTTTTAATTGTATAATTGAATAATTAATAATACAGTTGAATGTACACTTCTCGTTGACTAACTTTCATTTAACCCTTTCAGACCCACGGGTTATAAATGCACAATTATTTCAGCCAGCTCCATCTTTAAGAAATCTTGAATACTAATGTGAGAAACTTGTAGATCACTTGTAGGAGCCTTTATTTTAACACTGAATCACAATCGCGACGCAACAGTGATTGTAACGGGAACTTATTGTACTGTTTAGTTGCAATGGTGGACGCTAGAATTCCTCAGGGTAAGTAAATAAAAATCCAAGAAAATCCGTTTGCTTTGATATAATTTTTAACATTTTATAATCTCGCTGTGTAGTAAAACAATAAAAGAAATTATGTTCATATGTATTTTGTAGAAAAAAAATATTTATACCAATAAAAATCGGTTTTTATTTGATGGACATAATTATGAACGTTAGGATTGGACTGAAATGGAAATGAATATATTTTCATATATAATTTAATTTTTTTGAGCTAGGTGCAATAATAATACATGCACATATTTTTAAAAAAATATATATTTTAATTTTTTAGTTTTAATACTTTTATTTTATTTTAAATGTGTTTTCCTAGGTGATTTACTAAAGTCTATGTAAATATTCTCCAGAAAATGAAAAAGATGCAACTATTTTATTGGAATTACTGAATACCGTTCCTGATATTGAACTTAGTAACAAGGATGAGGAGAAAGCTTTCGAGAAATCTTCTCAAGTAATATAAAAGTTCGTGTAGGTGTCGATAAATTGCGATTTACCCTTGATGAGATATGTGAGTATTGAAATAGGGAGAAAGATAAAGCTGACATTTCAGAGCCCTCAGACCCGTCACACAAAAAAAAAACAGTTCATGTAGGGGCTGATCACACAGGACCCACAAAGATTTAAATCCCTGAGTCACACGAGGATGACGAGAACGAATCTGGGTCACACGAGGCTGATGAGAACGATTTACCATTTTAATAGACTATCTACTTCAAAAGAAGGCAATTTTAGCTTTGTAACAACCAAAAAATCTGTAAAATGGCGTAAGAAAGATTTTGAATCTCCAAATTTGGTTTGGAATAAAGAACAACAACCTACCCCTACAAAGCCCCCAAGTGAAGAGCTTCATGATCCTTTACATATTTTTTTCTAAATATATAGACCAACAGCAGTTTGAGTAGATGGCCACTTTTACCAGTATGTATGCTTTTTATAACGAAAAAACTCAATTCAAAAATACATGTGCAGATGAAATTACAAGTTTATTTGGTTTACCCATAATTTCGGGTTGCCTAAAATTTCCAGCAGTTTGTTTATATTGGCAAACAAATTTGTATATCAATATATTTATTAAAACAATGGAGAGACCGATTTTTTCAACTTCGTTCAAATTTGTATGATGATATCAGGAAACGATGTTTAGAGTTAAAAGTTAGAAGAAAACCTGTGTATTGATGAATAAATGGTACCATTTAGGAATCATTTGTCTGTAGTTCAATACTCAAAGGGTAAACCTACCTCTGGAGGTAAAAATTTTTGTCATATACGGAAAGTCTGGCATCGCTTATGATTGTTTTATCAAGGAGCTTCTACTGGCTTATATGCTCAGCTTCTAAAACGGTTTGGGTTTGCTGTTACAATAATTCTTCATCTCTCAGAGAGAATAAATAATGAAGGGCACAAGTTATATTACGATAATTACTACCTCGTATCAACTTCTTCAAGTCTTAAAATCAAAAAAAAATATTAGCAGCTGGAACAATTCGAAGAAATAGGTTCAATAATCCTACTGGGAAAACCGATAAAGAAATGTCGAAAATGGTAGAGGAACTACAGATCAAGTAACAAATAAAGATGGCGATTTAGTTTTAGTCAAATGGATGGATAATCTGAGTGTGCTTCTTTCTTCTAGCTTTGTTGGACTTGGAAATAATGATGTAGTTAAGCGGTGGGAGAAGGAAGAAAAAAAGTATATGGATGTAGAAAAATCTGAGGTGGTAAAGCTTTATAACCATTCGATTGGGCGTTGATCTTTTAAATCAAATAATCAGTGTGTACAAAATTTATATTCGTTCAACAAATGGATCCTTCAAATAATTTTTCATGCGGTAGACTTGGCTACAGGAATAGCTGGTTTGAATAACAAGAATGTGACACACTAAAAATTCCAAAAAAGGACCGATTAACCCTTCTAGATTTCAAAATGAGGCTTGCTGAAAGTCTGATCAAGGCAAACAAACTAATTTCTCGCATCAAAAGAGGCAGGCCAAGTACTGCAACACCACCCATAGCACAAAAAAATTAAAATATAACTCCAACCATATGCTCCAACTGGATGAAACCAAACAAGGAAAAAGATGTAAGCATGCCAACTGTAATAAAAAGACTCACTTTTTTGTGATAAATGCAATGTACACCTTTGTATAAAAAAGATAGAAACTGCTTTGCTTTTGTTTTACAGAAAATGATTTTTTGTTATTTTGAGTCTTTATTAAGTTTTGAAATACATTTTAGTTTTTACATTTTTTATATTACTAACTAGTTTTGCTGTTTTAACTTTTTGTTAAAATTTTTAGTAAATCTTGTCAGTTTTTATTCTCTATCGATAAAATTTATTTACGCTATTACCCCAATCTGCATAATAATGCACATATATTTTTTTTTCCAAACTAAATGGAAATTTTAAAAAAACATACATATAATATGACTTTTAGGACTACTGCCTACTATAAATTGTACAAATAAAATTTTTTTCCTATAAAAAAAATCAGGTCTGAAAGGGTTATAAAAACCATTGTTTTGACAACGTTTCGGCAAGGTCAAGTCAATTTATTTGTACTTCTTCTAGATGTTAAAAGAAAAGAGATGAGATCAGTTACGTTTATTTTTTACCTTATGTTAAATACTATTGAAAACACCTATACAAAAGTTGATTATCTATCAAATCAGTCTTTAAGCAACGTGAGACATAAACTAAATGTCATCGGTCACATGTCACTTGTAAATACGTCGGTATTGACTGTCATTTGTCACACATAATTTGTTATACCTTAGAGGTCACTAGTTAAAGGCAACATTTATTTCTTAACATTCTAAATCATAAATACTAATGCGTAATTTCAATTTTGTTACCAGGTTATGGGTTTCATCAACACAAAATACCAAGATTCAAAAGAGGATTGGCCTGACATACAATTTTTTTTTGGATCTTTCGCAGACAGCTCGGATGGTGGTTTGTTTGGAAGAAGAGCCGTTGGTATGAAGCAAGATTTATTTACTGCCCTTTATGAAGACATAATATACAAAGAAGCTTTTAGCATATATATTTTACTTCTGAGACCAAAAAGTAGAGGAAGGATTATGTTGAGAGATAAAAATCCTGAATCACACGTTCTGATTTATCCTAACTATTTTGAAGACTCTCAAGACCTTAAAGTTATAGTAAGTATACAATATGTTGTATATTAAAGACCACAAATTGGGAATTAAATATTTCCTATTTATTCAAATCAAATTACTATTACGATTTTTACAAAACTTTTTTTTTCGTCTTTATAGAGGTGGGGTCTGAAATCTCAGTCCAGGATGCCGCCTGACTAATCTTAGTGCAGGATTCGGTCTTCGTACTCACGGCAATAGTTCCCGAGGTACTTTAAAATGCCCTCTCGTCGCCGAGTCTATGCCGAACGCCTACCTACTAAACCAGGCCCTCCTCTGTCATCCAGCTATCTGGAAGCGGAATGGCCGCTGTAAGACCGGCATCACTTCCAAAGCACTACCTTTATTCATTCATCCTCCATTCATACACATCCACACTCCATTCATCAGCAAGGAGGCTCCCTGTCTCGTTCCAGGCAGCGCGTAGAAGACCCTCATCGCTCCTAGTACGACATAATTCCCAGTCGGACATTTCCTCCTTCCCCACAGTCTGACTCAAGCATTCTAACTTATACAGTTTGACCGACTTTTCTAGCTTCAATTTTCCGCATCTTTCACTCTTACCTTTGCCGTTGGTTCAGCTGTCTTTCTTCCTCTTTTCTTTTTTTTAATCACTTCACGGATGTCGGATATAGCTGTAGTACAACCTGATTTATTTTCAATCATTCTCTCAATCATTTCTTTCACTGTAACAAAATTCACACCTGCCTCTGTCTCCATTCTTTTTCTTTCTACTATCCATCTGCTGCAATCTAACAGCGTATGTGTCACAGTGTCCGAGTATCCACAGCATAGGTATTCATCTGTTTCAGCCTTTCCGAATATAGAGAGGTGGGACCTAAAACACCTGTGTCGTATGAGCACCTGCGCCAGGAAATAATACAGTCACCTGTAACCACAGTCCACCTAATCTCTTATATTCGGGATCAGCAGTTTCGTCCACTGTGTCACATCTTCACTGTTGTTACATTCTTCTTGCCATCTTTCAATTGACCTTTCCCTTTTCTGTCTTCTCTCAGACAGTTTCAGTGATGGTTCACAAAGTTGCCATAGACACAGTCCGTAGGCGCATGCCACTCACAACAAACTTGTTCGCTCCACGTGTGCCATGTACAACACCGTGTAAGACCCTTCTCCTTTCGAATTTGGGTTCCCAATGTTGTGTAACACCCTCCTCAACGCAGCTGCACTATATGTAGCCTTACGAACCACCTCCCGCACGTGCTCCCCATTTTCCATTCTGGTGCAATGTCACTCTTGGGTACTTTACTGGTTTCTTTGGTGTTAGACATGCTCCCGCATATTGTAATTCAATACTTTGCCTGTTCCTTGTCCCCTTCACAATGGTGGCTTCGGTTTTCTCTGCCGCAAGTTTCAGTCCGTGCTGCATCATCATTTCGTTACGACGCGGTCTGCGTTCCGACCCCTGTATTTGAGATCTGGCTTATCCCGGGCCACTACCAGTACAGCGAGGTCATCCGCGAATGCGAAGGGGCTTGTACTCTCTCCGTATTCACAGTGGATAATCCCGTCATATGCCAGATTCCATAGTGTCGTGCCTAAGACAGATCCCTCGTCACGTCCACGATCGTGCTCTTTCCCACCATAATCCTTCTCTCAGACAGATACTCCACCACCACATTCATCAGGTAATTCGGACATTCTCTCTCCTCCATTGCCTTCATTACCTCGTTCTACTGCAGCGTATTGAATGCATTCTTAACATCAAACAACAGCAGGGCCTCCATACACCATGCCATCTGCCGTCCGGAAAGAGCTCTCGTGTTAACTCAAGCTTCTTGTCCATAGGCATTTCGTCAGGAGCATATGCATGCAACTTCTTTGTATCCCTGACCCCAGATGTCCTCACCTAGCTTTTCACATAGCTCTTTCCAGTGCCTTCTTTTTTATGTACGGATTTTCCTGTACAGTTCCCTCTTCCTTACGCAGTACTCTTCCTCGATGACTTCAGGGTTGATCCCTGCTCTTCCTCTTGCTCTCGTTAACCTTTTTCTCATTGCTATACACACATTTCTTAGTGCCTCGATGTCCGCATTCCACCAATATGGCATCCTGTTGACATATTGTCGACCTATCACGATTTTTACAAAACTAGAAAACGGAATTATGCTAATACTATTACTGAATCCTACTACCTAGTTGATTCTTCCCCATTGTCCTGAAAAATTATTTTTATATTGCAAGACATAGGACCAGCGAAAGACTTAGTTGGCCTAGATTTCTTCAAATCTATAAAATACTAGATTTTTCAAGCACGATCCTTAGTCTTTAATGAGAAAACCAGACGAATTTCACAAAGTCGAACTCAGCAAAAAAATGGACATTTTTGGTAAAAGAAATTGGACAATGCGGAGTTGCAATGTTGGCATCGCAGGAAATTAGATAGGAGAGGCAGGGAAAAATTCGTGAAAATAAATTCTCACTATACTACTCTGGAAACGAAACCAAACAGGGGCAAATAGGATATCAGACATAATTTGCCCCATAAGACTCAAAGGAAAATATATAACGTGACAATGATTAGTGCATATGCATCGATGAAGGATGCTGAGGAAGAAGAGGTACAAATATTCTATCAAGATTTACAGAAAGTATGTGATAAAATCCAAAGACAAGTTGCTGTTATAACATAGGTAGGTGATTTTATAAGCTAATCTTTGGCGCTTCTCTCCATCTACTTTCAAAAGCATATTCTTTACCTAATCTTCCTCGCTTCGTATAATGAAGACATTATCTGAGCATCGTAGATGTTTACACACTGAAACCAGTCAAAATGGACTTAAGTAGCACAGTGTGCAGAGGCAAATATTTATGTAGTTCTCAGTCAAATCTAACTTCCAGAGAAAATATATCCAAAAAAGAATATGAAAATACCAGAAACCAGAGTAACCAATCAAATTTACCTTGTCCGATTCTCAAAAACTTTTATTACAAACTATTTCACAGTTGAGGTAAAAATTTTAGACTTTGTATCTCATATCTAGGCAAATGTCCATATATTGAACACTAGCAGGAAGAGCAACAATTAAAAAAATTAATATTAAAAATTTTGAAGCCTATCTAAACGTTCAATACAATAAGAAAAGCTAATAATATAGATTTCGAAGAATAAAGTTGATTTTATCCTTTTTAGGTAGAAGGGGCTAAAATTGCACACAAAATAACACAATCAAGAGCTTTGCAAAAATTAAACACCACATTCAATCCCCACAAGATCCCTGGATGCAAAGATTTCGAATTTTTGTCAGATGAGTACTGGGCTTGCCAGGCTCAACAACTTACTTTAACCATATACCATCCCACAGGAACTGTAAAGATGGGACCAGATCAGGATCCAATGGCTGTTGTGGATCCCAGATTAAAAGTTAGAGGTAATGTATTATTTCTTATATCTATATGAACCCCTAACAATTATATATTGGGACAAATGAAAATATATATAACACATTCAAGCGCTTGACTGTTAATTTATTCTTCTTCTTTAAGTGCCGTCTCCCAATAGGAGGTTGGATATCATCATCACTATCTTTACTTTATATACTGCTGCTCTAAAGAGTTCTATAGAACTGAATTTAAACCAGTCTCTTAAATTCTTCAACCATAACACTATCCTTCTTCCTATACTCCTTCCTCCTCTTATCTTTCCCTGTATTATCAGCCTTAGCAGTTCATATCGTTGTCCCCTCATTACGTGTCCCAACTTTCTTATTTTTATTGTGTTTATTATTTCACATTCTTTGACCAGTTCTCGCAATACTTCCGTGTTAGTTTTCTTCTGTGTCCATGCTATTCTAAGCATTCTCCTGTAACACCACATTTCAAAGGACTGTAAATTATTTATGTATTCTTGCTTTAACGTCCAGCTTTCAAGTCCATATTGCAGTATAAAACACGTAGTATCTCAGTGCTTTTACTCTCAGTTCTATTCTAAGATCTTTGTGGCAAAGAATTGTTTTTATTTTTACAAACGCATTTCTTGCTATTTTTATCCTAGCTCTTATTTCGGTTGTTTGATCATTATTGTCTGAAATCCAGGTTCCTAGGTATTTGTATTTATCAACCCTTTCTATTGGTACATTTCCCAAATGTATGTTTGTTGGTATATTTGTTTTCTTTGTTATTATCATGCATTTGGTCTTTTTTATATTCATTTTTAGTCCATATTTTTCACAGAAACTGTTTGATTTATTTAGCAGTTAATATATTATGATTATTGAATAATTACGATAACAATGCTAAATTTGGAAATATTTTAAATGATAAATAATCACAAAGTGTAATTAATATTTTTTATAAGGATCATAAAAAGTTGTAAAAATTAGTGATAACTTATTAGTAGGTCAGTATAAAGTAACTGCTAAAAACCAAACAAGACAATCGTGAATTTCAAAAACTATAGTGTGGAATATAAAAGTAAGCATTATGGGCAAACAGGAAGTACCTTCAATAACAAAGGTAAAATTCTGGGTCGTCCAAAACTAGTTGTGACAGGAATATTATTGTAGAATACATACATAATTAACATATTAGTAAAAAAGTTAGAAGAAATGTTATAAAATCGGAAACAGTTATGCATATCAGTGCGGAACGCAGTGAACCTTGGAGGAAAATAAAAACCTTAGACGAGTAGAAAGGAGAACCTTCAGGAAAGGGAAAAAAATAATAACTCATTATACTAGAAACGATCAAGAAAATTATACCAACAGATAAACAGGTATAGTAAATAATCCAAACCTAGAATACTTCTCCTTTTTGTGGTGCCCTATCCAATTAGTGGATGTTGGCGACAATTCTGTCGCCAAAATAGCTAAAAAACGAAATATATAATTACGTCTGCAAGTCTGGTAATCAGACACCTAGACGAATATTTAACGATACGGAATTAAAAGGTATAAATACCTTCATATACCTAGGTTCGTTACCGACTCAAGGACACCAATATCAGCAAAGAAATTAAAACAAAAATAGTCCTTGCCAGTACTATTATTAAGTGCTACTTAGCCTGGGAAGACAAATGGCCTTAAAACCTCAAAGAAAAATTAAGCTGATCGATAAAACCAGTTTTAACATATGGAGCTGAAACGTGATCACTCACACAGAATGACCAAGAGCTGTTTAAGCGTTTCGATCGAAAGATTCTAAGAAGAATATATGGAGGACCAAAAGAGCAGGGTATGTAACGTACTTGCTACAACTTTTAGTTATACAGAAGTTTCGGCAAAGCTGACGTTGTGAAATTCATTAAGGCAGCACGCCTCAGTTGGAATGGGCATTTAATCAGAAAGGGGGAGCATGCTACAACCCTTTTACCCTTCCTTGGATAATAAGTCTTTTCATGTTTTCTGTGTATGCTCTTTTTTAATTGTTGGAGACCGATTTTGCTGAAGAGCCGTCTGCTGACTTTTAGTTCATTTCAGATTTAATTATTTGTCCAGTGGTCGGTCCACAAAATTCGTAACATTCTTCTCCGCCAAAACCAGAGCATTAAGCAGCTGTAAGTTTTATTGAAAATGTTTCATTACGGCAAACCAAGACTATTTGAACAAAAATCTTCAATTTAGTTGACAAACTATATTTTTACAGGTATATCGAATTTAAGAGTGGTAGATTGTTCCATATTTCCTTACATTCCAAGTGGAAATACAAATGCTCCAACGATAATGGTGGCTGAGAAAGCAGCAGATATGATTAAAGAAGACTGGGGAGTTTCAGATAGCGAAGATTCAGAGGAAGTCCTTGTAATTGGAGAAAACACTCTTGATGATGGTAAGCAGTAAAGTTTAAATAAGTACTATGGAATAATTAAATAGAAAAAACTCTTCTAATATTCGAATCTCCAACTTGGTGTTTTATTTACAGGTGGGATATAGCAAACTTTAGTGTTTTTTCTGGTGGGTTAGTTACTGCTTTTCTAATTATTTTTATAAATACCGAAACAGTGGTTACTCTCTACCTTTTCCGATATTTCTAAAAATAGAAATGCTAAAGACTACGGTGAATACAGAACAATTTTATTAATAAGTCATGTTCTCAAATTATTCTTGAAAATAATATATGGACGTATAAATAAAAAACTGGAAGAAGGAATAGATAATAGTCAGTTTAAATTCAGAAACGGACTAGAAACCAAAGAAACGTTATTTGCTTTTAATGCGATAGCTCAAAGACCATCAAAAAATTTGCCAAAAGTCACAAACAGCAACTTCTTTAACACGACAATGTTGACTAACAACACAGATCGGTTAGACGACTTATGAGAAAAAAGTCCTGTAAGTTAATTAATAGTGCAATAATGTTGTACCTTAATATTTGTATAATAAATCGGTAGAGTCTAAGGGATACTAGTGACCCTGTCCGTGGTTTTAAGTTTCTTACTAATAATTGAAGTTGGAGAAAAATTTCTTATTGATCAACGCTGATCCGACTGCAATATTATTAAATATATTAGTACGTGTTTACATTAAAAAATAACATTTTGTTAATTTTTTTTTAGAGAGAAGTAGGTCTGCAGGAAAGAAGCAAGCAAAAACCAAATTGGAACCTGTTCTACAAAAAACTCCTGCCATCAAAGACGCTGACTATTGGTGACGACCATATTCTTTTTTGTAACACAAATAAACTTTATAACAAGTTTATACTAGAATTCTTGAAATTATTATTTTAAATTTCCTGAACTGTATCCTTTAATTTAAGAATTATGCGAACTGGTGCAGTTCGAGGTCGTTTCTCATCTGAGGCCAAAAGTTCTCAAAAGAGTATATATCCGGACTACTTAAGGGGAATTTTAAAAGAGAAATATTAATTTCCTGCCACCACGGATTCCGCTTGGCAGGTTGCGCGATCTTTTTGAAATACAAATCCGTCGTGTAATCCTCCATTTGGCAGTTGAATTTCATGAATGAATTTTATTAATAGAAGGCAATTATTCCTCTTGTAAAATACTTTTGTATCTCGCAGCATTGACAGTGTTATGGAATTCTAATGAAAATGACGTTTCCAGCTCAGAAATAAAGCGCTAGCCCTAGCTAGACCATTACAGATGCTAGGAATTTAAACTTTTTTTAAAGTAAGCTTTTGGTATTCTTCCCCCGGTATTAGAAAAACTTCACTTCGTGTATCGTCAACACAGACCTTAAACTTGGATTCATTACTCCAAATAACTGAGGCACCGCTCCTGCTCACCGCTGGTGCTCCCAGTTTTGTGCTCTTTTACAAATGGAGTTATTAGGATGATTGTTAAAAGTAATAGTATTAAGTATTTAGGATCGGTGTTACAGAGTAATGGGGAAATAGAAGGAGATGCATGCAGTAAAATTAGAGTAGGGTGGATGAAGTGGAAGAAGCGAGTGGTGTGTTGTGTGACAAAAAAATTCCAATGAAGCTGAACGGAAAATTTTAACAGCCATAAGACCAGCTATGACACAAGGAACTGAATGTTAAGCAGTTAAAAAGAAAGAGGAACAACGAATGAATGTGGCACAAATGAGAATGTTTAGATAGATGAGTGGAGTGACAAAAAAGGCTAAAATTATGAATGAGTATATTAGGGGAATGATCTCAAACTTATATATCCACTAAAAATCAACAGTGCGATTAGAACATAAACTGTCACAGATCTTCACAGTCCAAAAAGCAATTGGACAGGGTTGCATATTGTCACTGGCATTTTTTAACATCATCATCATCATCACGTAGCGCTACAACCCTTTGTGGGTCTTGGCTGACTGTACAACTTTTTTCCAAATTGTTCGGTCTTCCATCAACCTAGGGTCAAATGGAATGTTAATTTTCCGGAGATCTGCTTGGATGTTATCTCTCCATCGCATTCTGGGACGTCGAGTGTCTTTTGCCTGTGGGAATCTCCTCCCATACCAGTTTTACAAGTCTTTCGTTATGCAGTCTGTACACGTGGCCTGCTCATCTTAGTCGCTGTGATTTAATTTTTTGGACAATATCGGCGTCGTTGTACAGTGCTTTAATTTCGAGATTGGTTCTAATCTTATACATTTCTTATACAGCTAGCGCCTCAGAAAACTGAGGTGTTAGTTCTCAAAGAGACCCGGGAAAAATCCTCTCTTCGCTTTATAGTAGAAGGTGTGGAGGTTACACCAGTTAAATCAATTAAGTATCTAGGAGTTTGGTTGTCAGAAGAACTAAGGTTCGGAGTACACATCCAAAAGACAGTAGAGAAGGTGAACCGAAATCTGGAGGCGCTGATATGGCTGATGCCAAACATTGGAGGCCCAGGTAGCACCAAAAGAAAGGTGCTAAATGGAGTTTTCCAGTCAAAGGTAACCTACGCTGCCCTCGCGTAGTGTAGCATACTAAACACTGCGAAATACGCTAAGCTGATGGAGACTTCGCAAAGGCGAATGCTCCTCAGGGTATCTAGCGCATTTAGACAGTTTCAAATAAGGCTCTATATGTCATTGGAGCGCTGATACCAATCGTTTTGTTGTGCAAAGAGCGAGCGAGGATGTATGCGAGAAGGATGGATGTAAATATAGATGAGAATGGGAGACAAAGAACGATAGTAGAGTTGTAGAGAGAATGGGCGAATGATAGTGGAAAGGCAAGGTGGATGAAGGAGCTTATTCCCGATCTGAGACCGTGGTGGGAATGTAAGTTCAGGAAACTAGACTATTTCCTGACACAGTTTCTGATTGGACGTGGTAGTTTTGGCACCTTCACAAATAGAATAGGCAAATCTGCCTTGAAAGACTGTACTGTTTGTGGGGTACCGGATGCTCCCACCCACATTTTTTAACTGCCACAGATGGGCAAATGAAAGGGGAGATTTCGAGAGGCGAATGGGTTTCGGGCTGGATGAAAGAATCATTGTAAACATAATGTTAGGGGGAGAGAAAGAATGGGAGAAGTACACTGTCTGATTTCTGGAGTGATGAAGAAAAAGGAGCAGGTGGACAGAGGAGGAAATTGAGCCAGGGATTTGAAATTTATGGTTAATATTATTTATAATTTTTTAGTTTTTTATTTTATTTATTTATTGAGTGGCAAGACCACCTCTCTAGCCGGAACACGGTTAATCCGGCACTACTCTGAGGTCTTCTGGCCTAGTATCCTACTCAGTCGAAAGATGCCAGGGTGTCTTATTCCGTAACGTAGATGTCCAAAAAAGATTTCCCCCACCGTTGCTTTTAAGAATTCAATGGATACCTTCTTAGGCTCTTACTGGAATCTGGCAATACGGCAATTAAAAAAAATCATAAACGCCCAAATTACAATAGGCGATACACGATACACCGTTAGAAAAAGTGGAAAAATATGCTATTTGGGCTGTAATATTAAGAATAGCTGGGATCACAGCTAAGAAATAAAAACTCTTATATAAAAAGTCAGAAGCTATTTCAACAGCTTTAGGACGATTCTCTGCAACTTATCTTTAAGTATCAAATATGCATAAAAATTCTTAGATGTTACGTCTTTAGTGTCTTCCTCTATGTAGTAGAAAGCTGGAGCCTTACAGAAGATCTTATAAAACGATTAGAGGCATTTGAAATGTGATGCTACCGACGTATATTGAGGGTCTTATATATACACCACACAAGTAACATGACTATTCTAAAGAGTCAATGAAAAGACAAAGAAATTATTAACACCATAAAGAACAGAAAATTGGCTTACTTACAATAAGATGTCAAAGGTCAATGCCAATGACAATGTCAATATCAATGTTAATGGGTCAAAGACTAAAAAAGACCTGTGGGAGACGCTTAGGCAGGACATGTCGGTAAAGGGTATTAATATTAATATGACCCAAGAAACACTTATGGAGAAATGTAATTACGGAAGCCGACACCGCATACGTATAAAGGCAAAGAGAATGGTGATAATGATGATGATATTGTTCTGAAGCTATTTTCTTGTGGCATTGTAAATTAATTATTATTTATAACTGGGAATAAGCCAAAATTAAAGATAAAAATACGTTTATTGACGTTTCAATTTCCAATTCGGAAATCGTTCTCAAAATACAAACAGTAAATTAAACAAATTTTGTTTTTTGTTACATAGTGAAAAAATTCTTCTAATAATTTAATTTTATCTGACTCATTTATATTTACAATTCAGACATACATTATGCATTTTAAAGTAGACGACTTTAAAATGATATTGCCAATATTGTTGAGTTGCGCTCCTGGGACGACTTTACTTATAAGATAGTTCATTCGATTACATGAAATCAACTTTAACTTGAGAATATCCGTCAGAAAAAATCATAGCATCTAATTCGCCTTTAAAAAGACAAACACATGACATGATGACAGTAAAATTCTCCTGTTAATGATTCCATAGTAAATTGTGAGGGAAAAACCAGGAAAAAAAACCTCATAATACTATCCCGACATTGTAAGTATTTGTTCGTGAATTAAGTTTACCTTCAACAAACATCAAAAATTCTGATTTTATATGTTACGTAATTTAAAAAACATAAATGATGTATCCTCTATATGTTACTGACTTACTAATACTGGTATTTTCTTATTAATAACTTCCTCTTTTAATATTGGTAACCAGATCCTACTACATTCTGCCGAGGAATTTGCGACACAATTGGCCTCATTTAGCATAATTAGAGCCGCTTCTTTGATTTTTCTTTTTTTACCATCCGTTTCTTTTAGGACTATATTTGAATTATTCCATTGAAAGCTATGTTCATTATCCCATGCGTGTTTACGTATTTGAGATCTATCAAATTCTCTATTTTTAATATAAGATTGATGTTCACTTATTCTAACATTTAATGGCCTTGATGATTCACCTAAATAAAACTGATCGCATTCACAAGGTATTTTATAAATGCAATTCTTTGTCCTTTCTTGTTCATTGTTAGGTTTGGTTTTGGACAAAATAGATCTCAACGTGTTTGTTGTTTTGAATGTTGTTGAAATGTTGAATTTATTTCCTATCCTTTTAAGTTTTTCTGATAATCCTTTTATGTACGGTATTGTTATTTTCCTCATATTATTCCTTGTATATGTTGTAGGATCTCGTCCTAAGTTGTTGTGTTCTATTCGATCGATTGTTGAAAATTCCTTATTTATAAATGATAAAGGATATTTAAATTTCAAATCAAATCACAATATTAATGTAAAAAAGGGAATAATTAAATCCTTATAGGATAGAGCCAAAATTACTTGTTCTAACGAAAATTCGTTCTTGGAGGAGAAACATTTGTTAACATCTGTTTTATTAAAAAATGATTATCCTTTATCATTTATAAATAAGGAATTTTCAACAATCGATCGAATAGAACAGAACAACTTAGGACGAGATCCTACAACATATACAAGGAATAATAGAAGGAAAATAACAATACCGTACATAAAAGGATTATCAGAAAAAACTTAAAAGGATATTAAATAAATTCAACATTTCAACAACATTCAAAACAACAAACACGTTGAGATCTATTTTGTCCAAAACCAAACCTAACAATGAACAAGAAAGAACAAAGAATTGCATTTATAAAATACCTTGTGAATGCGATCAGTTTTATTTAGGTGAATCATCAAGGCCATTAAATGTTAGAATAAGTGAACATCAATCTTATATTAAAAATAGAG